CAACCTCCCAAATATAGAATATAATAGTGGGGTGGTTATCGCACATTATTACACGGTTAGATCGTGGTTAGGTGTTGTTTGATTGATCATTTCTGTGGGTCTTGTATATTAGTTCATTATTTGTGACAACTTTGTGTAGACTCTAAGTATATTGACCATTGGCTGGAAAAATTCTTAGTCCCTAAAATTTGGAAAGCCGCAGGCGTTAGGCCCTTTGCTAAAATTGCTGCTCCAGAAGGTGGTGATTATAGATCAATTAGCACCCTTCCAGTCTTATGGAATGTATTAGAAAAATTTGTATATGAGCAAAGAAGGAAACTTTAACTTCAAAGGAAGCGAAAGTGAAGTAAACAAACCAAATAATTGCAAGAAATCAAAAGATATTTAGGATTTAGAATATGAAAGCTTGTCACGTCATTAAATTGACCAATAGGAGTGTTACATGTTATGTGTTAACTAAGCTTAAGGAATGACGAACACCTTTTCTTTTTACTAGGACATTCAGCTCTACTTTATTTATTTTTCTTTTAATGCAACTGCCGTTTACCATGGCAACCTCGAATCGCTCGCGCGATATGAGCCTGTATTTATTCTTGATTTTATATAACATCAGTTCGGATCTCGGCAGTTGGGAGTATCTAGAACTCACCGAAATGGAAAGAAAAGTCATTTCCAAGGATTCCAATGGATACCGATGCCTATTCATCTGCGATATCTTGCAGCCCACTGTCAAAGGTAGAGATCTGCTGATAGATATATCGTTCGTAAGCATCTACGATATTGTAAAAGGGTCACATCGAGCTTTTACAGGGGATTCGTTGTGAAGTATAGTCGGAAAAGTTGCTCATTTTTTCATATATAAGAAGGAATGGCAATAGCTAAAATCAGTAAGGCCGTTTCCCGGGATTGAGGTCTAAAGGGGGGGGGTCGAAGACGATAGTGCATGCTTGAATTCCCACTGGCAGGGTTATTAAGTAAAAAACCTATACAGGGTGTTTCAGTTTATTGTTGCATAACTTTAGGATCCGATAGAACTTTTAAAATGAATGCATAAAGTCTTTATAAACATGGGTCGAAAAATGCGTGACTTCCGAAATACAGGGTGTTTATATTTACTTTCTAATATAGTTTTTTTTTAAATATTTCAAACAATATTTGATGTATAACAATGAAAATTAGTATACAAGGGTTTTTTGGTACGACAAAACGAACCATGGGCATAGTTTTACTGTAGTCGCTGGAGGGCGCTCTCTACTGTACCTGTAGTGTATTAAAATGACCGAAATTTTTTTCTTAGTGCAATTTTTTGCTTTTTGAATAAAAAAACTGATTCTTCGCACTTTTCAACATAAAAAAGCTCTCCTGTGAGTTTTCGTTATAGTTAGCCGTTTTTGAGATATTTCGACTTTTAAGGTTCGATGCATTTTTAATTATTTATGGGAAAATAATATTTTTTTTACATTTTCGATTTGGGCATTACAAGTAATTAAGATGATCGTTTAGATTGTGTTTTTAAACACAGCAATAATTCCTAACTCCAAATAAACACAAAAAAACAGAATATTAATTTGTTTAATTTTCCAATATTATTTTTAACAAATTAAGTTAATTATTTACAACTAAAATGCTATTGGATAGTTAGGACAAACATACAAAATCTAAAGTAGTTGCTCGAAATGTAAACCCAATTGTTCAATACACAATTCACATCTACGAATGATCGAACGTGGTATAGCATTATTCAAATAAGGCCTTATTTCATCACAAGCATTCCTGATTCTGTCTATTAGCATATATCTTGTGGTTACGGGAGTCTGGTATACTTTTTCTTTTAGAAATCCCCACACAAAGAAATCTAATGGATTTAGGTCAGGGGATCGTGGAGGCCAGGCGACTGGTCCTCCACGGCCGATCCATCTTTCTGGATAATTTTCGTCCAGCCAGTTTCTAACTATTCCCGAATAATGAGCTGGACAACCATCAAGCTGGAACCACGCCAATCTTCTTAAATCTAACATAACATCATCCCTCATATTTTCATGTTCAGCCTTTAAAAATTCCAAGAAGCTCGCAGCATTTAACCATGCAGGCAAAAGGTAGTGTCCAAATAGTCGATTACGGTAGATACCAATCCACACGTTCACACTAAATTCATGCTGAACATTTCTTTCCCGAACTGCATGCGGATTTTCATGCGACCAAATATGTTGATTATGAAAATTTACCACTCCACGTCTAGTGAAGCATGACTCATCGGTCCATAAAACTCCCTATTATTATCAGTTCTATCAAGAATCCACTGACAAAATGTGATTCTTCGTTCTCCGTCCCCTGACTGTAGTCCTTGCACAGGTTGCAAATGGTAAGGACGTCTATGGTCATTTCTAAGAACACGGTGAACATGGTTTGCTGAAATTCCCAAGGCACCAGAAACTCTCCTAATACTTGTGGTCGGATCTCTATCAAACTCACACAGGATCATACGGGTAAATCTGCGCTGACGAACATTTATGTTTTGATCCCTTTGGAGATTTCCAAAACCATTTTCAATTATTTGGCGATGCACTCTTACAAATACTGAGCGAGTTGGATGTCGTCTGTTTGGAAATCTTCGTGCGTATTCTCTGGCTGCTTCTGCTGCGTTTCCATTTACAAAGCCATACACAAAATGAATATCCGCTAACTCTTGATCGGAGAATAAAAATGGCGTTTTTATAAAACTTACAAAAAAAAACAGGTAAAAGAAACTAAATTTCGTGCATTCACAATTGCAAAAAAACGTTTCAGGTGTCAACAGACAACAAAACTAACTGTCAACTAATTGACGTTTAACCTTATTCTGCTTTCAATTTCAAAAATATTTGCAGGCATAGCCTACTTCTAAAAATTATCGAGATACTGGCTTTTTAACGTTATTTTATCATAAATAATTAAAAATGCATCGAACCTTAAAAATCGAAATATCTCAAAAACCTGCTAACTATAACATAAATTCACAAGAGAGCAAAAAGCAAAAAATTGTACTAAGAAAAAATTTTCGGGTATTTTGATACACCATAGGTACAGTAGAGAGCGACTTCTAGCGGCTACAATTTTCACTGTTATACATCAAATGTTGTTCGAAGTATTTAAAAAAAACTATTTTAGAAAGTAAATTTAAACACCCTGTATTTCTGAAGCCACGCGTTTTTCGACCCATGTTTATATAGACTTTATGCATTGATTTTAAAAGTTCTATCGAATCTCAAAGTTATGCAACAATAAACTGAAACACCCTGTATATTCTGGAAAGAATTCTGATGGCTATCTGTTAACAGATGAGGAACGAAAATTCTCGAGTCCCACTCAGGCGGTACTCAGACTTGCCAAACCTAACAGAAATATTACAGCCGATAACTGGTTTTCCTCAAAAGAGCTGGTAATTTTTCTGAAAACTAAAAATCTAACTTTTGTCGGAACACTTAAAAAAAATAAAGGTGAGATTCCTCCTACATTTTTGCCAAATAGAAAAAGAGAGATTGGTTCCAGCATCTGTGGATTTACCACTGAAACAACCATGATATCTTTTGTACCTAAAAAAAATAGAGCAGTAATAATGATCTCTTCCATGCACCACAATGAAAATACCGATGTTGAGACTGGTAAGCCAGAAATTATCAGTTTTTACACCACTATTAAAGGTGGAGTGGATAGCCTGGACCAAAAGTGCAGTCTTTATTCTTCAAGTCGTAGAACTCGCCGATGGCCCATGGCCATTTTTTTTCAGATTGGTAGATATAGCGTCTGTAAATTCATATATTCTACATCAATCATACCGAGATAATCCAGAAACTAACCGCTATCATTTTGGGAAACAGTGCAGCAATGCTTTTGGTAATTCCATATATGCAACGCCGATATCAAAATGTGCGTATTGGTCGTGAAATGAAAATATCTGTAAGGCGCATACTACAATTGGAACAAGAAGAACATCCTATGGAAGGTGATAAACTGAATACAAGAACGACTTGTAGACGTTGTCCCTCGATGAAGGAGAGAAAAACATTCCATGTTTGTATAATTTGTAAAACTCCAATATGCATGGAATGTACTAGGAGAATTTGCAAAGAATGTTCCATCTAAATATGCTAATCATTGCAGATATTTTTATATAGAATGTTTTTAGTTTTGCTCTGATGTTATTTTATTTAGAATAGTTTATTTCAATTATTTATGTGCGAAAAAGTGCTGTTTACGTTTCTATTTTATTTTTATTTATGTCTCTGTTACAATTGAACAAAAATATAGCAATAAAATATTTTTTTCCATACCTACTGTACTCTTATTTCATTCAAATATAGTTAAAACTAGATCAAATGCTAATTAGAAAGATCTAAGAGTTAAAAAATAAAGATTTTGTTGTACATGTATAGTCAAAAAAAGACAACCGGTTAAAATGACCGGTAGTCTGTGGTTAAGTCCAACAAACGTGACCTCTGAAGCTAAGGGTTAAAGCTACATAGACGGCACATAATTATTTTTTTCACTTTATTTTTAGTTTCCTCTTTTTTATCGACATTATGGACATATCTGAATTATTTTAAGAAATTGTGGTAAATGAGGACGTTTTCGGTAAAATAGGTCTTATTTCTGTAGAAATACCAAAAAAATCGGTCGATTCGGCAACACTGGTTTATGACATAGCTTCAAGCTAGGCCACCCATGACAATTGAGCTGGTTGATTGTGCGAGAAGCAGTGTTCCCAGATAAGTTTTTTGATTATCAGTAGGTGTCGCCTCGAAAAATCAGTAGAATTCAATATTTTTACGTGTATACACAGGCAACCAGTAAAACTTAGAATAAAATATAGAGATGAGATATTCAATAAAGAATCAAGGTTTTTAAATTATTACAAATATTTTTATTTTATATAAAAACCTCAACTAACAGATCAAAATGCATACAAACAAACTTTAAAAGAACAAAATATTCAAAATAATACATAATATTAATTTTTGACTTTAGTTATCTGACTCCGAGTCGTCATCTGTGAGCCCTTCCTCACTTTGTTTTTTGTATATTTTGGAATTATGATATTTTAAAATATCTTCGCCAAAATCCACAGAAAAGCATGTTTGATTGCTAGTTTTCAAATAATTTTTAGTGTGCAAGTTACCTACTATTGATACACTCGAAAGGCGATTTCGATGAGTAGTTTTCATGAGATTAACTTGTGAAAATGTGCGTTCCACATTCGCAGATGAATGTGGTAAGGACAGCATATTAAATGCAAAAGTTGAAAGTAGAGGAAACATAAAGGAGTCATCTCCATATTGAATTTTGCTAATTTTTGCCCAAAATTCTTCTGCATTTATATTGCTAGGAAAATCTTTTAAAATTTCATTACTTCTAAGCAAGCGCCATTCATTGTCTATCGGTTGAATTTGATTTTCATTAACTAAATTAGGTAAATGTTTTGCCAAGGGAATGACACTAGGTGGTTTTTCATTAATTATTGTTGCAGGGTCAATTAATTTCATGTTAATTAACACCTCATTGTTAAAATCAAATCTCTTGCATATCTGGTGTGCACTTTCTACAAAAAACTCTAAACATCTTTTCCTTAAAGTTAAATTAGAATCTCTATCTAACATTAGTAGAGGTATCTTAGCCCCTGAATAAAGTTCTTCTAGTGGTAAAACGTTTCCGGGATCTCTATAATTAATAGCTTTTAAGGGTTGTGACTCGATAATGTCTCTTTTGATAAAATATTCTAGTAAAACCTTGTAACTTGAGCTAATAGAACTATATAAACTATGTATTTTGGGCTTTTCTGCCTGCATTTCTCTATTTAGGTTATTAAAAAGGGGCAAAACAAATTGTAGAAACAGTAAAAATGCTTTTGTCAGTGGATCTTTCAAATCATTTAAAATATTTTGAGCAGCTAAAACTCCTTCAGATATAGCGGCATCAGTGAAAAATAAAACAAGAGCATTATATTGCTCTAAAATTCTGTTGACAGCACTTTCTAGACTTAGCCACCTTGTTTGAGAAGGTTGTAGGATCTTGTGTATAGGGGTTTCCGTAAATGTTTGAAACTCTTTGAGGGTATCAATACGTTTCGGGCTGTTCGAGAAAAAATTATATACATTGCGAACCAAGTCTTCGGCACGCCTAGGTAATTTTGAGCACGCATTTGATGCACATAAACTAAAACTGTGGCATATACATTTGAGTGTGAACAAGTTTTGTATTTGTGCTTGTAGTTTTGTAGTTAATGAATTGAGTCTACCGACCATCACGCTGGCACCATCCGAGGCAAAACCGATTAAATTATTTCGCCAGGGAATCCCATTGTTATCGAAAAAACGGACTATTTTTTCGTGAAGATCATCTGCTGTAGCTCCTTGGAGGGGTATCAAGGCCAGAAAACTTTCAGCAACTCTAAACAACAAAAACATCAGAAAGTATATTTTTATATTTTCTTGTTATATCTGTTTGAAAAGGGCGATCCCTTTATAGTTAAATTGACTAACTTTCATATGAAATTAAACACAATTAGAACTGATATAATTTTCGTTAAACTTACTTGCCAACTTGGCGATATCTACTTATTAAACATAAATGCTTTGTGCAGCCTCTATCCGTAGATTCGTCAACAATTAACGAAAATTTCGTGCTTTTTAAAATAGCACACAAGTTATCTAATTGTCTTTTTCCAATTACTTTGTTTACTATGGCGGAACATTTTGTTGGTTTACATTTAATATTTCTTGCTACTTCTGAATCGGGGCATATTTTGGGAAGAAGTTGTACGAAATGGTTCATTATATTGTAGGATAAATTATGTTCCGAGACAAAAGCTGCTATGTGCATTTCAGATTTTTTTGTTGTTTTCTCCAAATTGCTAAACTTTTTAAAAGATGCTAATGTTTGCTGGCCTTTTACAGATTTCAAACTTGTTCTGTGTCTTTCGCTGGCAATATGCCTTACTAGGGCCTCCTTTCCCGTTGTTTTGACTGATATATTTTTCTTGCAAGCTTTACAGTAGGCACTATTTTCTTCCCCTTGCTCTAACCAGCCTTTGAAATCGGGGTCATTTAGCCACGTTTTATTAAACTTTTGCGAATATTTAATTTTCTTGCTTCCCGAGGGAATTTCGCTTCCAGAATCATCAGATTCTGATTCATGTTCTCTCCTAAAATGAAATTACTTCTTTTGTTTTCAACCTATAATAATAAATAAAGTAACTTACCTCATTTTATTTGAATTTCACCTCAATAAACTTCACCAAACATCAATAAATAATCAAAATTTCTTTCTGTCACTTAATATTTGGGTTTTGGGTACTACAATCGAAACTCTTTGAAATCGGGGAATCACCATAAATCTATGGGAATCACCATATCACCAAGTTTACACAGAAACCAGCGGACAGCTGACTAAAGTGCCATCTGTTTGCGGATATGCAACTCTGCAACACCTGTAGGCTGTAGGGGCCCGCAACGGCGATTTGATTAACTTTAGAAAATAAGCGCTAGATGGCGGTGGGAAATACGGTACGATGTAGTATTTAATTCAATCTTGCTTTACAGAACCAGTTTTGCACAAAAGCACTTGCTATTGTGACTTGTTTTTTAATTTTTACTTAAGTTTTTTTTTGTACTTTACTTGACTTTATTTGTTCAGTAGATTTAAGAATGAAATCAGTAGATCAGTAGACGGAACCCTAAATCAGTAGATCTACTGATTTTTCAGTAGATCTGGGAACACTGGCGAGAAGCCCAGAGACCAATAAATGATGAATTTGTGTGTGTGTTTGCCAGGGGAAGAGCGAAAAACGGAATGATCCCGCTCAAAGCGGGACATACCTGTATGGTCACGTTAGGCATACTTTAAGCCACGTCTGACTGCAATTCGATCCTGAATTGTCTCCGGATATAGAGAAACTGCAACTCCTGTCATTCAGGTTTCATCTAAATCCAGCGTACACCGAAGACGTTTTAATCTTTTGAGATCCTTGCTACAAGCGATTGACAACGACTAGGAAATTCACTTAACTATGAGCTTAGTGTTCTAAGTGCACATCCGACCAAGTTTGTGCGCCTGCAATTATAATCCACCATCCAGTGGCGTACATAGTTTGAACGAAACAAAAAAAAAATGGCCTCAAGTAGATTGTACACTTTCTACTCAACGTCGTTATCAGCACAAACTAGACCCCCTGAGAAAAAAGTCAGTCAAAAAGGTATATACAATTAGTCCATAGACATTATTTAATAATAATAATAATAATAATAATAATAATAATCGTCTTTATTCAAGCTGTACAATTTCATACAGAGAAATAAGAGTTGCACATGGTGGCGAAGTTTAGCAACATGCTAGATTTATTGTTTTCAATTGATACACACTGCAATCGATTTGATATATAATTTCGAAAAAAGTTCAATGCAATTGGATCTATGCCATAATACTTCAAGTTTGCTATTAAAAATCCATGATTTATTTTATCAAATGCCTTGGAGTAATAGATTGACATCACTGCTACACCCATTTTTTTATCAAGTGCTCTAATAATATTATCCACCAAGTTTAAGAGGGAAGTAGTAGTATCGAAAGATTTCCTAAAAGCAGACTGATTAGATGGGATGATATGTTCCTCTGTATAATGCATTAGTTGTATGTGGACCTCATTTTCAACTACCTTCGATAAACAAGGCAATAGGCTTATAGGCCTTAGATCAGCAAACTCATCTGGATTTAATTTTTTTGGAACTGGTACCACAATTGCTCGCTTCCACGTTTCAGGGAAATAACCTCTTTCAAGACAACTATTAACAAGGTGGGTGATGTAGATGAGAGTAACAGGCAGACTGAGCTTAATCATAGACAAGCCCAACCCACGGCGCTTTTGTCTTACTCACGCGTACCGTCCTTATAGGAGACTGACGATTGAAGATGTCAATTAACTTGCTACTGAAAAATTGAACTTTATCATCAATATTCCTCATATAGCACATTTCAATAAAATTTACTGTAGCCAGGTCATCTATGAAAGATTGCTCATCAAAGTGTGAGAAATCTCTGAAGGTGATCATTTTTTGTTCATGTTTCACACGGGATATGTTCACTCTCCTACCGGTAGTGCATCTGACATGTCGCCCCTCTCCGATACTTAACTCAGTCAGACTTTGCAGCGCGACCAGAGCATAGGAAACACTATGCTCTGCGGCGGCAGAAATACGTGTGATACCATACCAGAACAACAGAACATGTCGCAGCTGCGGCCAGGAGGTACGCGATCGGCCGGCGAATAATATTTTTCTAAGTTTAAAGGACTATGTACATAGAAATCTAAGATGTGAGAAAGATGTCTAATAAGTGCGTAGAATTGCCAAATGTCAAAAAACGAAGTTTCAGCGATTTTTACTTTTTCGTTTTTGGCCTTTTTCTCTGCCGCCACTGGATCGATTTTTAAAAACCGCAAAGCTTTTGCGTCCTTGGCATGGTAAAAACATTGTGTAGGATTTGTACAATATCGAAAAATCGTAATCTCGATTACATTACTTGAGAAGTAAAATGTGAAAGTTACCGTTACCCTTTGTTACGATAAATAATGCATCACTTCGTCATCAGCAATTACTTTGCAATTCAATCAAAAAAGCTCAGCTTTGAACTTCTGCCGTTACATTATAGTTGCTTATGTATCTAAGATCCGGCTTTCAATCTCTGTTTTTTTTAACTTGTAAGTTAATTGTTAGTTATCCGTAAATTCGTTTTCCAATCTCTGGTTAACTAACACACTAGGGTTGATCTGGCAACGCTGCATCTACCTCTGAAATATCGTGTTTTGTGGGTTTTATGCTCGATGTTTGAGTGTCGTGTCATCTGCGACAACTCATGTCACTGTCAAGCAAAAAAGGTTAGGAATTGCGGTGTAACTACGGCCCGTATCGTCAGTCGTCCCTACAATTGTAGGGCGCCTTTATGGCCTCCTTGATTGTCATAGTTTTCTGCTTCTCCGTGTCAGCGCTCTATTTTGAGGTTATGTCACAAACATCTATTTGCATCAAATTGTACTTGCTTTTGAGTTACATCATGTTTTATCAGTCTGAAATTTCCTACAATTTAAAAAGAAAACATATCTTCACACTAGGAGAGCGCTGACGCTGACACGGGACAAGTGTAATCTAGAAATTTTTGAAGGCGAGAAAGCAGTATGACAATCAAGGAGGCCATAAACGCGCCCTACAATTGTAGGGACGACTGAACGTACGGGCCTACAGGTTCTTAGTTAACAGGTAGATGGTCTTCTGGTTAACTACCGTTATAGGACAAACCTGACATTGAAAAATACTTTTTAACAGCTTACGTCTGGTCAGCTATAAAATCACAGTTAACCTGTAATTAAAAATTTGGGCCTAAGGCGTTGAAGGAGCATTCATTGGCCGCGGCGTAAAAAAACATACCAAGCAATGTACAAACAAAATTTCATCCACGAATGGTTTCAATCAAAAATTTAGATTGGAATCAATTGAAAATAAAAATGCGTTGAACATACTATTTTATCGCCGGTATTTGCTCTGTATTTCTCCAGGTAAGGTATTTTGTTAGCTTCTAAAGGTCAACGAAACTAATTTAAAATTATAAATACATGTTGGTTAAATATAATATAGACATGAGCTTTAGATCACAGATAAAAATATAGGCAGGGATTGTCTTGATTTTTGTTACACATGCAATGTGGCAAGGTAGCGCGATTTATTGTGCATTGTGATGGACGGTTTTAAAAAAATCATAAAATAGTTAATTCTTACTCGAAAACAAATTTATTGATGGAATCAGCTTCACAAGGAAATAGCATTTGAGACAGTCAAGTGTGAAAAATCACATCAGGCATGTGGTGTCTGAAATCGTTGATGCAGTGCTGGAGGCGTTCTTGGAAGTTCGCGTAGACTCTCTCCAACATCGCTCTCTCAACTTGGGCGACTGCCACGCGAATTTCGCCCTTCAATTCGTCCAGAGTTCGGGGCTTGTTCGTGTAAAATCGCATATGGATAAATCTGGCGACCGAGAAGGCCAATGAACATCGCCAAACCTGGAAATAAGGCGACCAGGGAAGAGTGGGCGAATAACGTCCATGGATGCTCGGGATGTGTGGGCGGTCGCCCCATCGTGCTGGAACCACACACGTCCGATTGTAACACGTCGCCGTCGTAATTCAGGGAGAAAAGTTGGTGATCATGTCGACGTAGCGCTCTGAGTTCACGGTAACATCACGACCATTACGGTCTTCGAAGAAGTAAGGGCCAATGATGCAAGTTTGCGATACAGCGCAATAAACCGTTACTTTAGGGCTGTGCAGCGGTCTTTCGTGTAATTGTTGCGGATTTCTATCAGCCCAATAACGACAATTCTGCTGGTTAACCATGCTGTTTAGGTGAAAGTGGGCTTCGTCACTCATAAACAAAATGAGGTTCTCATTTTGATCGATCAGTGCTTCCATGTCACGTGCGAAGTTCATTCGTTGTGCATAATCTCCGGGCTGTAACTGTTGCACAATGGCCAATTTGTAGGGGTGAAAGCGGAGATCCATATGCAAAATTCGCCTTACCGAACGATCACTAAGGCGAAGTGCAGCGGCATGTTTCCGAGTCGGACTGCGAAGAAAGACCTGTCGAACGCGTTCAACATTTTCAGGAGTTCGAACTGTTCGCGGCGCTCCTCTTGGTCTTCTGTTGATCAGTTCACCACGCCTGCGAAGTGATTCAACCCGACGAAGGATGGTGTTTCGAGAGGGAACAGCTCTATTCCGATGAATGTTGAAGTGGCGACGAAACTTACGCTGAACGTCGATGACTGACTCATTATTTCGGACGAAACAATCATGCGAAATTGAGGTGCTCCACCATCCAAGGCTCCATAACGACAGCTGGTAAAATAATGCTAGGATCTCACGAGTCAAACGGCACCCTCCCCACCTCTCTCGTAGACGGAGGCGGAGAGTACTACCCATCCCAAAAACGGCCGTCCTCTCTGCCGCACCCTGTAGTTCTGCTGGCGTTGTGGTTACTTGTCGGTCTGTGGTTCTATAATTTTCTATATATGTATATTCATGTATCGTCCGTTTTGGACTTGAATTAAAAAAAAAACTTTTCCATGATAAAATTTAACAAGGGTTTTGAAACTTTGGGGTTAGCTTCACGCTAAAATTGAAAACAATAAGCAACTTGTCATGACTGTCAGTTAGTGTTTTC